ACTCTTGCCCACGGGGCTCCCATGTCGCAGTCCCTCCGGCCCCAGGGTCCCCCACGCCTCGCCCCAGCTCCACCTGCTGGAGCCCAGCTCTCTCCTCTCACATTCCTCAGGTGGAAGTCACTCCTTCCCTCCCTGGGGCGAAGTCATCCCAGCCGGCTGTCTGTCAGTGCACCTGTGAGGGAGAGGGCCGGGCGGACGAGGTGGGCTGTGGCCTGGGAGAACAGGGACGCAGGGAGCACAGAAGGATCCTGTGGTCACGAGTGCAGCGTTCCTGGGTGCCCAGCCCTGGCCCCAATCGCTGAGCTGCCACTGTGCCGTTGCGCCCAGAGAGGGACGGGGAGCCCCAGGGCCTCGCTGAGGGGTTAGAGATGCCACGGGGCTGCCTGGGTTTGAATGCCACCCAGCAGCGTGACAATGGCAGGGGTGTGTGTGTCCCAAATCCCAACAGGCCGGAGAAATGGAGCGGACCGCAGTGGGACCCCACCCACTGGGGGTGCAGTCTCCCTCTGCCTGTGTTTCTGGTGGGCACACACACCCGCTGGAGCTTGAGGTGCACTAGTGAGGGACACTGTTCCCTGGCCCAGAGCGCCCGCTGTCACCCTAGCCCCAGCCTTCACTCTGAAGGCTCAGCCTCTGCCTGCTAGCCAGCCATGGCCACAGGGCGGTCACTGCCTCTGCGTGTGGCCGCCTGGACCTTGAAGGCCCCTTCCTCTCTCTCCCTCACTCCTGCCCACCCACCAGTCCTCAGCTCCCTCCATTCCCACCTCTCCCAGGACGGGGCCCAGGTCGGTTTCTTCAGCTGAGCATGCAGAGACCTGAATGGGGGTACTGACAGCCGGCAGCCCGAGTCCGCATGCAGGTGCTGACCTCTGTCCTTGTCTTCCAGGAGGAGGAGCAGGACTGGGACAGTGAGACAGGCCCACCCCAAGCAGGGCCTGAAGAAGAGGACGGTGAGTGGGACCCGGCCTCAACCCACCTCTCTGGCTCACTGTTGGGCTGGACTGCGCCGTGCTTCATAGAGCCGGGTTTGGGGCTGGCGGGGCAGCAGCCCAGGGTACGCAGCACAAGCGCAGCCTCCCTCCGGTGCCTTGCCTTCCTGCAGCCCCCTCTCCCACACCGCCTGGCCCCTTCCGTCTAAGCTTCATCTACAAACGTAAGCCATTTCCAGATACCAGGGGCCCATCTCGTGACCAAACCAAGCCTGTCTCTTCCCGCAGTAGCCCGTAACTCCCCTCCATGACCACGCCCTGCATTTCTCTGCAATATCGCTGACCTAATTTACGGAGACCAGGCCGCTGCCCGCGCTTTCTCCAGAATAAAGGCCGCAGAGGGAGCATCTGCTTTCTGGGCAGGGTCTGCTAACTGAGACTTCCCCTGCCGCCAGAAGAGAAAGGAGCCACCAACACCAGGGAGGAATGGGACGAACTCTGCTGCCAGAGCGGGAGCGGGCAGTGGCAGACGGTGGGCCTCCGGGGTAGATCCTCGCTCGCCACTGTTTTCCCCAGGCCGTCCTGGAGCCAGGGACTCCCTGCAACTGTGGCACTGGGACCTGTCCCTGCCACATGGCCGGAGACAGCTGCAGGGTGCCAGGATCCTAATAGTGGCCTGAAATTCCTAAGCCGAGGTGGGAGGCCCCTGGGCAAGGCCAAGGGCAGCCTTGCAGGACCTCTTCCTGCTATGGCGGCTGCAGGCACAGCCCCGCCGAGCCTCAGTGTCCTGACCTCTCCCCCGCCACCTCTGCCTTCCCGTGGCAGGGGGGGGGCCTCCCCCCAACACACACGCTGCCTGTGACTAAGGGAAAGCCTTTCGAAGCCGTTTGTTCCGCCTGGCTTGGAAAACAAAGCTAATCAGACCTGCCCTGTGAACTGAAACCTGGCCGAGCACCAAGCTGGCAGAAATATTTCTTTTATTTGTCAAAAAGCATGGCAACACAATAGCCCTAATGTTGAGGCTGATGGTTTCTCTTTGTCAGTGACTTCTCTCGAGTCCAAGTGAGCGCTGGTCGCGAGCTCACTCTGCCCTGGGTTCCATGTGACTCCTCCGCAGTCACAAGGCAGGCAGGATATGCGGGCTTGTGGTGACCACCGGCCAGGCCACTGGCTCCTCGGGGACGGACGCAGTGCTCTGAGCACTGGGACTGGGCTTTTCAGGATTGCTTCTAGGTCTATGGCCTCATCAGTCCAGACCTGGCTGCTCTAAATCCTGGTTCCCAGGGCCCAGCAGTTCCCAGAGCACCTTCCCTGTTCAGCACTTTGGCCAGGCAGCTAAGCCGGAGGGGAGAGTTGGCCAGCAATGCTAGGGCTCCAGGGGGAGCGAGAAGATTGACCCCATTTCTGCCCCAACCCCCCAGCTCCCACCTCACCCTGAAGAAGAGCCCTGGCTTCCCCTGGCAGCCTCGCCTCCTCCCGACCCCTACCCCCCCCACCCGGCCCCACTGTGGGGCCTTCTTTCCACTGCCTCTTGCTGTCTTCGGGCCCTCCAGGCAGGGCCATCCTGAACCTTTGCTTGTTCCCCACCTGTAAAACCCTCTCTGACCTCCCGATTTCAACTTCCAAGAGCCCCTTCCCACCTCTGATCCTGACCTACAGAGCTCGGGGCCAGCTGCACACCGTGTCTGTCCATCATTCATGTGTGTGTGAAACTCAGCGTTAAGCCCCAGCACCTAGAATCGTGCTTAGTAAATATTTGTATGATGAATGCAGAGCAAATTAATCCTTGTACGGATGTGGCAGCTGCTTCTTAGGGAATGCTATGGCCCTGGGCATTTGGCTGGGTGAGGTAGGCAACCAGCCAGCTTTCTCCTAAGCCAAGGGTTTGACGGAGGAAACACAACCCCCGCAACCTAGTGTTGGCTTTGAGTTTACACCCGTACCCCCCTTCCATTTGTCCAACAACCCTAATCTGAGAGGCCTTTTCTTCCCCTAAAGCCCATCTGATAGCAGAGCCCAGCTGAGCAGGGGGCTGGGGGGGTCAAGGCAGCCTGGCTCCTCCTGTGGCCAGACAGGATGTAGAGACGAATGAGATCCCTGACACCTGACAGGGAAGCTTCTAGAATAACAAGGAGACACCTGCGTGCTTGGCAATCTCGCACTCCTGTCACTCACTCTCCATACTTGGTGGTTCGGTGAGACTAGCTGGCCAGCCTGTGCCCCCAGGACTCTGCCTGGCACATGCTGGGTCAGGGGCCACTGAGGGCAGAGCTTCCCTGCTCAGGATACCTGGCCATTCCGCCCTGCCCTCCTGCCCTACCTCCCCGGCCCGCGTGCCCAGCCTGAGCTGCATGCTCTGCATCACCCGTCCCGGCTCCTGTCGTGTGTGTGCGCGGGCAGACATGGGGTCTGCTCGCGGGCACTGGCAAGTCTGGCCAGGCTGCCAGGAATGCGTGACAAATGCCATAGCACCCACATGTCCACTCGGGGCAGGGCCTGCCTCCACAGCCAGGAGGAGGCGGTCCTGGATGGAGCCAGACATTCTGAGGATTGCTTCTAGGTCTATGGCCTCATCAGTCCAGACCTGGCTGGGAGGGAGCGGTTTCTCTCTGGGGGTCTTGGAGCGGTTTCTCTCTGAGGGTCTTGGTTTTGTCTGTGTCCCGCCTTCAGGGCTGAGGCCCTGGGACAAGAAGGGTTGCCACCCTCCGAGAAATGCCCAGATACCAAGCTGGCTCTGGGGGGTGCAGGGGCCTGCTATCTCTATTGCAGGGTGTCTCCCTGACCCAGGTGGTTCTTCGGAAACTGAGAGAAAGCGGGCCCTGCGTGTGGGAGGGGCCCATCCTGGAAGCGGGGCGCAGCCTCACGGTCTCCTCGGTCTCCTCTCCGCAGGAGAGACCTTCTCCTTTAAATACAGCCCCGGGAAGCTGAGGGGGAACCAGTACAAGAAGATGATGACCAAGGACGAACTGGAGGAGGAGCAGAGGTCAGCAGGGCCCTTCCCAGGATGGCGGCCCTCCTTCCCCGTGCCCCATGGCACCCTCCGCACCCCTGCCCCCTCCTGTACTCAGTACTTGGCCAGGCTCAGACACCCCAAGGTGGTCCCTAGGGCAGTCAGGAGGAAGCAGCTGGTGACTGGGGGAGGGCGGCCGAGCCCATTTCTTGCACTCACCCTCCCCGGAAAGGAATGAGAGCCAGAAGGAGCCTGGGGCAGACCTGTCTGACCGCTTAGCATGGACTCCATGACAAAGCCCATCCACATCGCAGGACAGGGCGGGGCTCCTGGTGCTCATCACGAGCCCCTCCCTCCCAGCCCACCCTGCCCTCCCCTGCCCTGCTGTTTGATCTCTTCTGCTCCACGGGGTCCCAGCTGCGCGCTTCCCTGGACATTTCCTCTCAACCCCCCTGTCAGGCTAAGCAGTGCCTGGGAAGTGGCAACGGGCCATGGGGAAGCACCGGGTCCGAAGCAAGCCCAGCTGCCTTTCCTTGGGCAGGGCAGCCTGGGTTCCTGCGCTTAAAGCAGATGCCTGAACAGAAGCCGCACTGCATGCTGAGCTCGCAGTCTGGGTGGCCGCGGGGCTTATTTCGGAATGCAGGGCTTACCCTTCCGTGGGCATCCTCCCAGGTCAGGACTCCTCTGCTGAGAGCCCCACCTCCCGCCAGTGCTGGCCTCAGCTCTTCGACCTGGACAGGAAGGCACTACCCCATGGGGCAGGAGGGAGGCCTTGTGCACAGCAGGGGGAGACCCTCCAGTGAGCCCTCCAAGACCCTCCAGGGCCCCCCCCAAGACCCTCCAGGGCCCCGTGCAGGTGCTGATGTGCTGCCTCGTGGTGTGACCCAACTTGCTGCCTTTATATTTCAGGATTGAGCTGACCTCTGACCTCACTTCCCTGTAGCAAGTTCCTTAGGTCCTGAGCCACAAATATTCTTGCAAATCCTTTTGGTAAGGAGATTGACTTCCTAGACTAGCTGTCTGCTAATGTGTCTCCAACAACTGACTCAGACTGAGCCTCCCCTCCTCCACCGCCTTCATAACCAATTAATACACCTCCCCCCACACCCATCTCATCCTCAAGCTCCAGGGAGGAGTCCAGTGCCTCGTTTGCAGGGACAGGGGTTCTTGGAGGCTAAGTTAAGTCCGTGCGTGCCTACAAGGCCTGCTGGTTGGGGTGCAAGTGTGCCCTTGTGAGGCTGGGGGAACATGGCCCCTGGGACCGTGGGGGCTGAGGGCTGCGATGTGGGCCACAGCCAGGTAACTAACTGCTGTGGCTCTGTCTCAGCAGACGGTGAGGCTGCTGATTGAACAATGCACACAGATGCCCTGAGGATGGTCTGTGTGCCCGCTGGGGGGTGGACTGCAGCTGGGGCCACGTCCAGCCACGCTGCTTGCTGGGTCAGCACTCCCGGCCCACGCGGCGCTTGTCTGCTTCCCTGTGGTTCGGCTGCTTGGGGGCTATGACCGCAGAGCTGAGTCGCTGTGACAGAGACCATACAGCCCACAGAGCCCCACAGAGCCTCACGCAGGACGTGGCCCTTTAGGGTAAAATTTGCAGCCCAGGCTGGCCCCAGAGACTAGCTGTTGAAGGAGCCACATCCCACGTGGCTGACCAGTTTCAACGACTTGGTACCAGGCATGTGTGCTCCACTCCCAAAGCATAGAGAAAGGACTGTGGCGTGACCACGGCCCATGGGGGCTTCTCCCGCCCCCTCTCTCTTCCCCTCTGGTGAGCACACATGCCCCGTGGCAATAGTAGTAATTGAAGAGATCATTTTCAGCCCCTGGGCCAAAGGATGAGGAAGGCTTGGCATGCGCGCCATCCTCAGAGGCCCCCGTGGACAGAACCTCAGCCCACTCTGTCTGCCCCATGGTGTAGAGCGTGGGTCTGGAGGCACTGTTAGGGCAGAGGGGCCTGGGGCCAGCAGATGGCGTGGTCATATCACTGGACTCCCACATGGCCATCTGCGGTTTGAGTCCCAGACCCGATGGCTTGAAAATCACACCGGGCACGTGTGCAAGACCCTGGGAGGAAAATAGACAAGGGATGGTGGCTCAACCATCCTCCCTGAGGGGGGTGATTTCTCGCTTTCCCTTTCACTGTCTCTGTCTCTCTCTCTAGCGAGTACACTTGCCCTAAGCCAAAAATCTCTTAAAACAAAGAACAGGGGGACCAGCTACAGGACAAGTTAGCCTCAGAGATGGGAAAGGGACCCCTCCTCTGTTACTTTCTGAGCGTAGACACTCTTGCCCAGGAGAGCCTTCCCCACGAGGCCTTCAGGGGTCTTGAGACCCCTGAAGTCACACTTGGCTGTCCTTGGAAGTCACACTTGGCTCTTGGGGTGAGGGAGGAATTCCCCACTCCTTGTCCCCCTTCATGCAGCAGTTGGCACTACGTGCCTAAGCTGAGGAGGGGCAGTTGAGCTTCAGAGGGTGGGCTGGAGTGCACGCTCATCCCGTTACCTCCCTCCCCCAGCATGCCTGTGACGTCGGCTGCTTCCTCCTGCCCCGCGTGTGGTCAGCCCTGGTGGCCTTGCCTGGCCTGCCCCTCCCCATGCCCCTCACGTGGGGGTGCTTGGGGATGCAGAGGCTGGTCGGCCTGGCTTTGTCTTTCCTCAGGGCCTGGGAGAGCTAGTGCCTACAGGACAGTCCTGGCCCCCACTGAGTCCAGGGGACTGCCCTTGAGGTGTCATGTGGAAACCACGCGTGTTCTCGTCAGAGCACTAAAACCACACGCCAGTGAGCACCTCCGGATTCTTTCCCCTGAACTCCGCTCCTGTTTCCATTCCCTTTCTAGCCCTGGAGGCCCAGTCGAGTTGAGAGCTAGTTAACAGATAAATGCTCACCTGCCCTCACTGACCAGTTCAGCCGGATATCGGATCTGGAGTCTAAATCGCAGTGCCTACCCGTTCCAGCATCCCTGGGAGGACGCAGGGCTGACCAGTACAAGGCCCCAAACTAGCTGCCCCACGTGCTGAGCTGGGCGTTCCTGTTCCCAGCCTTAGACAATTACGAATCCAGTCCCTTGCCCAGGGCGAGAGGGGCAGAGGGCCGCTCGGCAGTGCTGTGGCAGCTGCTGCCAAAGCCCTGCTCATCCCTGTCCACCCACCTGGTCTCCCCTCTGGACTCGAGACTCACAAGTCTCACCTGCCCTCGCCTTGCATCTGGGGATCCCTGGGTTCCTGCCATAGCTTCTGTGGGGTGTGTTTGCAGGCTGGTGACAGCTCCCTCAGCAGGAGGCCTCCCCTTGCCCTCCAGAGCTAAGAAAGCTGGTGAGACTTGAGACTTGGGTGCTCTGTAGCTTGCCAGGTGAAAGAAAGAAGCACACCTGTGTGCTCCTGGTCGCCAGCTTTCTCCCGGGCCCAGAGGCTGAACTGGGGCCCATGCCCTTTCACTTGTAGGGTCCCAGGACTTCTAGAAAGCGCGGACTCTAGTGGAAGGTGTTTTTTATGGCACAATGGGAAGGGGAGGAAGCCGTAGAGGCACCGTGACTGTGGGGTGGCTCCGATCCTTCCACCTGGTACATCCAGAGGACGGACCTGCCCTGTGAATTTTTGGCTCTGGCTGGAAATGCATTTTGACTCCACTCTCCAGGAGAGGGCGCCAGAGGAACAAAATCCGAACCCGCGCGCTGTCCCTACTCCGGTGGACGAAAATAAAAGGTGGTCCCTCCCTGGCTTCATCTGGAGAAGCAGGTGTCGGAGGGTACCATAGCCCCAGAGGGAGTTCCGGCGAGGGCCCGGAATTATCCAGGGTGCTGGGAACCTCATCGGTGCGCCCTCACAGCAGGGATCGGAGAGGCCCAGCGACCCCAGCCACCTTAAATGCTCAGAGGCCAAGGCTGAGGCTGGTCTCTGCCTAGCGGGGAGGAGGGTGGAGGAGGGTGAGAGCACGGCCAGGTGTTTGAGAAACCTGCATCTCATGCAGCTTCTGCAATTCCAAACACTCCTTCCTGGTCCCTGCTTCCCTTTCCCTCTCCCATGGGACTCGTAAGATGCAGCGAGTACAATAAATGATCTTTTCTTCCTATTTCTCTTTACAGAACCGAAGAATAATGAAGTTATCCTTAGTCTCCTCCTAAAGGCTTTTCTTTTTGGCATCTTAAAAGCTTCAGATTAAATGGAGCCCCCCAGAAAAGATCCCATGCGGGCTCCCAGGTGCATCCTGCCTCCATAAAGGTCGTCAGTCAGGATCAGCCTCCCTCGCAGGGCTCTCCCTCGCAGGGTCTCATGACTGCTTGGGCTTGGCCCTGGTCGCGGGTCACTTTGTTAAGCTGAAGGGCTTTAGGAGTCTGAGCTCAGGCCCCGGACTGGGTCATTCTTCCTCCTCAGATTGCTCCCCTTAGCACCCTCGCCTCTTATAGCACCCCATTACCACCTCACGGAAGCCACACCTCGCCAGGCGTGGGTGGGGCTCCCGCTCCTGCCCCCACCCACTGCCCTCTCGCTCTGGCTAGCTGTGGAGATGAGAGACTCCATGTCGATTCTGCACAGCAGAGTCCGCGCTGGTACTGGCCTGACCCTCGCCCTTATTTCTTATGTGGAGGAGGCTCGAATCAGCCCTCTTGTTCCTAAGAAGCCTTTTCACCCACGTTCTTACCAGCTCAGCCAAACCTCCACTTCGCTTTGGCAGAAGCAATAATAATAGTGTTAGCCTCGAAACAATTTCCTGACTATGCCTTTTCCTAGAAGTTTTTATAGATGAGTTAGAACTTTGCCAAGTGATCAGATCAAGATCAGATTAGTTTTTGAAATTTTATATTTGACAATATTTATACGATTCCGAACTAATTTGCAGTTCTTAGATGCGTTGGTTAAAATGTGTTTTTTTTTTTTTTTTTTTTTTAAAGCAGTAAGTTTATAGAAAGATTTTCCACTTAATGGAAGACTGGGAAATGCCCAACATCAGCCCCTAGGGCAGGCGTTCCTGGTTCTCCAGTGTAAAACTTCAGGTCCAGGGCTTAGGACCGAACAGGCAGCAAAGCAACAGCCACACCTGTGACACTGCCACGGAAGAGCAGAGTATTAGTGTCCCCGCAGCAATAGCCATGCCCTTGCCTAAGCCGAGATCCTGTCTATACAGTACAGTCATGAGGCTTGTCTGGAAACTTGCCGAACGTGGCTTGTGGGCACCAGGCCTCGTGTCCTCCCGATGGCTTAGACTTCTGTCTCTGTTCAGTCCAAATAAACTCTGAGTAGATGACTTTGATTACTGTGTGTTTTTGCAGTTTGCTTTTAAAAATATAATCCTTTGAACTCATTAAAATTGGAGCTTGCTTTCATTTTGAGGCCTGTTGGTCTCTGGCAGAGTATGAATTCATCTGTCCACCCTGTTAAAAATGTGTGGGACCAGCAGATGGCATAATGGTTTACAGAGTCGCCAATGGTCCCATGTAGTGGACTGTGGTTCAAGTCCTGGACCTGGCCATTTAAAACACACCAGGAGTGTGTGCGTGTGTGCCCCAAATCCTGAGAGGAATAAATGGAGGAGAAGGGACTGTGGCATGGCCATCCCCCCTGGGGGGTGATTTCCTGTTTTCTGTCTCTCTGTCTCTCCAGTGAGCACATGTGCCCGATAGCAAAACTCTCCCCCTCACTCTTTAAAAAAAAAGTATATATATATATACACAACAGTTACCACCATCAAAACCACAGAGGGACAGCAGGTAGCATAGTGTTAAGGTGTTGAATCCCTCATGGCCAACGCTATGGTTCAAGTCCTGGTCCTCGTAGATTGAAAAACATGTCTGGCATTGGGACCAGCGGTTAGCATAATGGCTATGTTGCTGGACTTCCCACGTAGTAGACCGCGATTCGAGTCCCGGACCTAGCAGCTTAAACTCATGCTGGGCGCATGTGCATGCGTGCCCAAGATCCCGAGGGAGAATGGAGAAGAAGGGATTGCGGCATGGCCATCCCCCCTGGGGGGTGACTTCTCACTTTCTGTCTCTTTGTCTCTCTCTGTCTGGCGAGCGCACGGAGCGCCCGCCCCCTTAAAAAAAAACCCCCAAAAAAAAAAAAAAAAGCCATGTCTGGCACATGTACATAGATGCCCAAAATCCCAAGAGAATAGAGAAATAACTTCAGCCATGGCCCTGCTTCCTGGGGGTGATTTATTTATTTATTTATTTATTTATTTATTTATTTATTTAGAGAGGTTTTTGCTATAGAGCATGTGCGCTCACCAGAAAAAGAGACAGAAAGCAAGAAATCCCCCTCCAGGGGGGATGGCCACGCCATGATCCCTTCTCCTCCATCCTCCTCTCAGGGATCTTGGGCACGCACGCACACAAGCCCAGTGTGAGTTTAAGCCACTGAGTCCGGGACTTGAACCTCGGTGGACTACATGGGAGTCTCACAACATAGCCATTATGCCAACTGCTGATCCCTGATTTCTCATTTTCTGTCTCCAGCAAAAAAGAAACCCACGCAGAATGTTTGTTTTGCTTGGGAATGCGCCCATGAACATGTGCATGGCGATTCCTCTGAGGAGCCCCGCCCCACCCTTCTGCACACAGGAGGCCTCACAGATACTAAGCATGTATCGTAGGCCCTCTCCTCTCCAAATGGGGCAACTGCAGAGATGACGTTCCCGGGATGGTGAAGGAGGCTGAGATCGGGACTTCGGTATTTCAACTTCTAAATGCCGCTTTAGACAGAAAACCGTGCTGGGCGGAAGATCGTGGGCTCAAAGGACGATTATAGCAGAGGGCCATCCTGGAGACAGTTGAGACCGCGCTCTAGGCAGGGGAGGGCATGCTGGTGCTACAGGCCCACTATGGTGGTCCCATAAGGTGTACAGCAGACCCTTTACATTCTCTGAACGTGCCCAGGCAGGGGTGTGGTGTGGAGGGCCAGAATCGCAGAAGCAAGAAACAGGGGCAGTGAGATAGGGCCAGGCCGTGGTGTTCAACCCTGCCAGCAAACACAGGCACCAGAGGAATAAAAGCACACTGTCGTCCGGCTGTGCCAGTTGCACCCCACCCTTTCCTGTATGCCGCGGGCGTCGTCCTGCACTGGCCAGATGATGTGGCTGAGCCTCATAAAGATAAGAGAGTATCACCCCACCCATTGGGCCTGCAGGGGGTGGTGTGCAAGGTTAAGGCCGTCCTCCCCACACCTCCTCCCTGGTAAGGACAGGGCCACCACCCGCCATAGGGTCAGAAAAGGTGGCCCTCTCTTTGAGCAGAAAAAGCCCATAGGCCAGATTTCAGGCCCCCTCTGCCCCCTTGCCGGGTCCCTTGGGTTCATGCCTATGCCCTCTCCTTTCCCAGCCAGGGCTGCAGCT